AATAAATAAATAACAAGGACATGAAAGATAAAATCTAAAGAATTGTTCCATATCCAAAGAGACTAAGGAGAAAAGTGCAATCTAGGTATGGATCATGAAAAAGTTTTTCTATATGAACCATTGGTGAAATTTGAAAGAAAGTCTGTAAATTAGATAATCGTATTGCATCAGTATTAATATCCTGATTTTGATAACTGTACTAAGGTTATATAAGAGAATGTTCTTGAGTTTAGGAAATACCCACTGAGGTATTCAGGAATGAAGGGGTATCTCTAGAATTTACTTTTAAATGGTTCAGAAAAAAAATGTATATATACAGAAAAATTTAAGTTCCATAAAGATAGCATGAAAAATAACAACCAAAATTACAAGCAGCTTAACAGTAAATATAACAAAAGATGCCTAACACCTTTATAGAGAAAATTATAAAATTTATAATGGAAGAGTAAAGGAAATTAAAACCACAATGAGATATCACCTCACACCTATCAGAATAGCTATTATCAAAAAGACAAGAAATAACAAGTGTTAGTGAGGATATGGAGAAAAGGGAACCCTTGTGCAATGTTGGTGGGAATGTAAATTGATGTGCCCAAACAATATGGGGGTTCCTCAAAAAGTTAAATATAGAAGTACCACACAATCCAGCAATCCTATTTCTGGGTATTTATTCAAAGAAAACAAAAAATACTAATTTGAAAAGATATATGTACCGCTGTGTTCATTGCAGCATTGTTTGCAATAGACAAGATATGGAAGCAACCTAAGAATCCATCGGTAGATGACTGGATAAAGAAGATATGATCTATATACAATGAAATATTACTTGGTCATCAAAAAGAACAAAATCTTGCCATTTGTGATGACATAGATGGGCCTTGAGGGTATTACGCTAAGTGAAATAAGACAGACAGAGAAAGACAAATACCATATGACTTCACTTGTATGAGGAATCTAAAAAAACAAAACAAAACCAGACTCACAGATAGAGAGAACAGACTGGTGGTTGCCAGAGGGGAAAAGGGTTGAATGGATGGGCAAGATAGGTAAAGGAGATCAAGAGGTATAAACTTGGGCCGGCCGAGTGGCGCGATGGTTAAGAACTGGCTTGGGACACCAGGGGGCCCCGGTTCGGATCCCACATATGCAGGCCAGTGACACTGCCCTCCACAGCTAAGATGCTGAACAACAGCTCAACCTGGAGCTGGGCTGCCCTGAGTCACCGGCGACGGCGACGGCGACGGCGAAGGCTGCAGCCCCTGCTGCAGTGGGTTGCCATGGGCTACCATGTAGCCAGCAGCCAGCGTGAGCGGCCAGCAGCCAGCGTGAGCGGCCAGCAGCCGCAGTGAGCGGCTGTCCAGAAGCCGGCGACTGATCTGTCTCACCCGGGAAGAGCGCAATGATGGTGCCAACTTGGGCCAGTGAAGCAATGTCCTCCACAACTAGACTGAAGAACAAAAGGACAGCAACTTGTCTGTTCCCCTCCCCCCAATTCCCCAGCACTGTTCCCATCCCCCAATTCCCCAATAAAAAAAATCTTAAAAAAAAAAAAAAAAGAGGTATAAACTTCCAGTTATAAAATAAATAAGTCATGGGGACACAATGTACAACATTGGTAATATAGTCAATAATATTACATTAACTTTGTATGGTGACAGATGGTAACCATACTTATCATGATGGTCAGGTACTTCATAATGTATATAAACATTGAATCACTACATTGTACACTTGAAACTAATATAATATTGTATGTCAATCATACTTCAATTAAAAGAAGGGTAAAAAAAAGAGCAAAGGGCCAAAGATACCCAATAAAAGAACAAAGTATAAACAGTTGTCCTACAAGCTATCAAGACTTACTATAAAGTAATAATAATTAAGAAAGTATGGAATACTTTCTCAACAACACTGTTCTCCTTCCCCAACAAAATCTTAAAAAAAAAAAACATATGGAATAGAACAGAATCCGGAAAGGTTCATCATATATAAAATTAATAAATGTTGAGGTTGGTATTATAGATCAGTGGGGAAAGGAAGAACTATTAAAAAAAAAATTATCTACAGTAAAAAAAAAAAAAAAAGAAACTAGATCTTTACCACACACACAGAGACACACACACACACACACATACACACAAATAAATTCCATACGGCTTAAGGACTTAAATATGAAAGGCAAAATATTTTTTAAAAAAAGACTTAGGAATGGCTAAGTAGATACTATCTAGATTAAGGGCTGGAGAAAACAACTATAAACTTCGAAAAATTCCCTGAAGGTATGGGTGATCAAAAAAAAGGCAGGTGTTACAGGAAAGTCAACACTTAAAAGAGAAAGGCATTGGGCAATATTCCAGTTCTTCTATGGCTTTTAGCCTGAGGGCAGGCCCCAAGGCAAAACTGGAGAGACAATGTCCATCTTACTGGATTAGAGAATCAGGGTACATCATTAAAATTTAAAATTTGTTTGTCAAAAGGCACTGTGAAAAAAATGAATTGGCAAGTCAGATATTGGGGAAAATACATTCACTATACATCTTATAAAGAATTCCTCAAATCAACAATAAAAAGGCAAACAATCGAATTTTTTTAATGGGTTTAAGCCGTTGAAAGAACTCTTCACAAAAGAAGATATATCAGTGATGAAGTACAAAGTACAGGAAATGGTATTCAACATACATCAGAGAATGCAAACTGAACCATGAGATGCCATTTCACACTCATTAGAAAGGCTAATCCAAAAAAACAAATGTTGATGCAGTTATGAAACAATAAGAATTTGCATATATTGCTGGTGGAGGGTAAAATCGTGCAACCACACTGGAAAGCTCAAGTGGTTTCTTATAAAGTTAAATATATATCTACTTTATGACCCAGCAACTCTGCTCCTAGGCATTTACCTAAGAGAAGTGAAAATATTTTCCACAAAACGCCTGTACAATAATGTGCATAGCAACCTTATTCCTAATAGTCCAAAACTGAAAACAACCCAAATTCCATCAAAAGGAGAAAGGATAAACAAATTATGACTTATTCATACAATGGAATAATACCTCAGCAATAAAAAGGGGTCAACTACTTATGCATGTAACATGAAAGCATTTCAAAATCATTGAGTGAATAAAGCAAAACATATAAGTACCTACTCTGTGAATCTACTTACGTCAAGTCTAAAAACAGGCAAAACCAGCCGGCTGAGTGGCTCAGTTGGTTAAGAGTTGGCTTAAGAGCATGGGCTCTGAGCAACGGGGCCACCGGTTCGATTCCCACATGGGCCAGTGATGCTGTGCCCAAGCTGAGCTGTCGCTGAGCTGCCAACAGGTGGCAGGATGGTTCAGCTGGTGTAACAAGATTGCCTGTTCGATGGTGGGCTATGCCCGCCCGCAACTAAGACTGAACTCGGCACCTTGAGCTGAGCTACCGCCGGGATGGTTCACTGGATAGAGCGTGCGCTCTTAACAACAAGGCTGCTGGTTCGACTCCTGCATGGGATGGTGGCTATGCCCACCTACAACTAAGATTGAACACAACACCTTGAGCTTAGAGGCCACGAGCTGCCGACAGGAAGCCAGATGGCAGCTGGTACCCTCCACAACAACGATTGAAGAACAACTTGGCTGGTCCCCTTCCCCAATTCCCCAACACTGTTCCCCTCCCCCAGTTCCCCAATAAAAATCTTAAAAAAATAAAAACAAGCAAAAACAATCTATGTTTATAAAAATCATAAGGTGATGGTAAGGCGAGAAGTAGAAATTGACTGAAAAGGGGCACATGGGAATTTTCCAGGAAAATTTGGAAATGTTCTTATCCTGATTTGGGTAGTGGTTACATGGATGCATACATTTGTCAAAACTCACTTAAGATCTGTACAACTTATTGTATGTGAATTATACCTTAAAAAAAGGGGAGAAAATAGTGGTTGACATGTAAGACGCATGATTCAATACATATTCAAATCCTCTTCTACTCCAGGATCCAAAAATACAGTGTGACCAAAAATGGGAGCCAATCCAACTTTATTTCTCAAAACTAACTTTACTTCTCAAAAATTCACTCCAAAAATAAATATATGAAAGCATCCTGAAAACTGCAATGGGGAAGTATACTACAATACAGGGGCTGCTTAAATAGCCTTTACTTTATTGAATTCAATATTTATTAACTATTGAATATGTGAATACATACCTTCCATTTAATGTCTTGGCGAGCACGTGGAATAAATCTTCCATCAAACATATGAGAAAATGGCCCATGACCTTAAAAACAAATGAAGCCTTAGCACAAGAAAAATGTTTATAAAGTGGCAAAAAGTTTTAATGTTTTTAGTTTTAACTTTACAAGCAACAGAAATCCATAATTTATAAATATATCACAAAAAGGGACAAATCTTATTTTGTAAAACAAGAGAACAGGAAGCAGAACCATATAGGAAAGGAAACTCTCATAGAGGAGTCTCTGAGTCACAAGAGGTTCCATAAACTTGATGAAAGGACAGTTTTGTGTAACTTGAAGGAATGTTAATAATAAAAACTTTTGGCATCTTCAGGTTGAATATGTGTATTAAAACAGCAGTTTGAAAACAATCCACTGGGATGCAGGAATAAAATATTAGAATTTTATTACTCTCATTCTTTAAAAGCAACTATTTTTATGTAAATTTTATAATATACATAATATGTTTATAATGAATACACACCTGTCGAGTCTGTCTCTTAGATTTTTACTGATGATGTGAGCAATCAAAAGTGGAAATCATAAGTTCATCTAATCTGTAAGTGATTTTAACATTCTACAACATTTAACAATATGAAATTTTGTTGAGGCACAACTTTGGAATCATCAGAATTTCTGCAGAAGCTTTACTTGGCTGGAAGGGACCCCATCTGGCCCAACCCTGGGGCTTTTTGCATGTCGCAATCTGTACATAAAGTCTCATTACTGTAGTGTTCAGACTCCCCAGGGACTGCCAAAGGCTTCCCAATAATTCCCTCTCAAAATACCAAGAATCTGTTAAGTTCATCATCTGGGGGTGGTATTAGTCCTACTGAAATCTTCAAGGGGACATGCTGAAGAGAGTGCCCCATCCCTTTAAGTTCCTGGCTATTGAAACACAGCTGCCCCATCCCTGCCCTGCCCAGGGGGCACACACAAAGTCTCAGGATCCTCTATAGCAGCGGTTCTCAACCTGTGGGTTGCGACCCCTTTGGGGGTC